GCCGCTACCCTTTCTTTAGTTCCGGTTAGTATCGTTACCAACCGGGACTAAATATCCATCTTTAGTCCCGGATTTCTAGTCCCTGTTGGAAAACCTGGACTAAAGGGGTTACCAACCGAGAGTATAAATAGTTTCTTCACCAGTGTATATATATATATATATATATATATATTATTCCTACTCCTTTCAAATTGATAATACATGTCGTTTAGAAAACGCTTAGCTTGTAGTAAATCATAACATAAGGGAGTCAATAATAGACTACAACATTATGAAACGTAACAAGCAACTCTGACATAAAAAAAAAACTAAACCGACATATCGGGGACTCTGACCAAAAGCAACACTATTACTTGTTTGATTAGCGCTGCCGCGGTGATTTATGCATGGATAGACAAAATTCAAAGAGCAAAAAATACTCCCCTTCGTACAACCATAAGTTTCTGAGCTTAATTTTGACCGTCCGTCTTATTTAAATTTTTTTAATAATTAGTATTTTTGTTGTTATGGGATGATAAAATATAAATAGTACTTTACTCGTGACTTAGGTTGTGTTTAGTTCCACGCTAAAATTGGAAGTTTGAAGAAATTGAAACGATGTGACGGAAAAGTTAGAAGTTTGTGTGTGTAGGAAAGTTCGATGTGACGGAAAAGTTGGAAGTTTAAAGAAAAAAGTTAGAATCTAAACCGGGCCTTATGTTTTTAAATTTTTTTAAAAAAAATTCAAATTAGACGGAAGATTAAAATTGGGTGCGAAAAACCATAGTTGCACTTAATATAGGATGAAAGAGTAGCATGATACTTAGGGCAATATTAGACTTTGTTTGATCATACACAACAAAAGAAATCAAACGCCATACACTTGAGGGGGTGTTTGGATACAGGACTAAACTTTAGTCCCTGTTAGTCTATCACATCGGATGTTTGACACTAATTTAGAGTCTTAAATATAGATTACTTACAAAACTAATAGCATAAATGAGAGCTAATCTACAAGACAAATTTTTAAGTCTAATTAATCCATAATTAGCATATATTTACTGTAGCATCACATAGGCTAATCATGAATTAATTAGGCTCATCAGATTCGTCTCGCGAATTAGTTCAAAGTTATGGAATGGATTTTATCATTAATCTATATTTAGTACTTATATTGTGTCCAAACATCTCATGTAACAGGGTCTTTGCCCCCCCCCCCCCCCCCCGCGCACTCACTATGGGTTAAGTCCCTCTCTCCTAAACACCCCTAATCGGTCTTGTCTTCTCGGTTGGCCTGGCCTGGTAAAAAAATTATTCACTGTTTCTGCTGAACTTTGAAATCATGACATCACCTCTATAGTTATGAGGGTCAAGTCAAGTGAAGAAGGTGAGGGGATTTCCCGCGCACGCCAACAATAGCTAGTGATACCCCGGTTTGAACTTTGGAAGGCTCAGATGGCGCCACGTCACCCTCTGCCATTTAATTCTGTCCGTGCGATCACCACGTGCACGACATTGGGATCCCATGATCCCGTATAGTAGCACGGTAGTATAAAACAGTACTAGTACATTATTGACCAACAGATTATATCCAATCCAAAATGGGTGTAATTAATTCAGGCTCAAACTGTAACAAAACATTCAGGACGGAGGCATATGGTTTTCTTAAGCATCTTGTTGAACCATGAAGTATAAAATTTTGGATAAATTTTTAAGAGGGTAATTGTGTTTTTGACCCGTTTTGAAAGCTAACCACTAATATTTTGACCACATTTTTCTCAACTTTGTTTATTTAACCATATGGTTTTTAAAATTGAAATTGTCTTCTGACCATATTCCATGAAGCCAAATTAATGGTGTTAAACTCAACGAAAAAAACTATTTATGCCCTTGCTTATTTACTCTTATTTTCTCAAAGTTTTTTTCATCAGTTTTAATTATGCACAGATTGTTTGTGATGGACTTTAGATGGCTCATTCCTTTGTTCCAAAAGCACACGCCAAAATTTAGAAACAGTCCAGTTTGCTTACTGTATCTCATGAATGCATCTACAAGATTGGGCCGGGGTTAATTGACATTATGGTGATAACATGATTGAATGGAAAGAGATTACATGTCCTGGAGAATTTGTCTTGTACTACACTTAGCAGCTGATCAGTAGCCGTTATATATATATATATATAAGGCCTTTCAATGACAACTTTTCATAACCTCTGTAACTACTCTCTGTTTAAGTGTTTAGTAAGTATTGACAGGCATGCGGTCCTGCAGTATGAGATACCCTGCACATGCGGCATTATCAATGAGTAAGATAGATTATCTCTACTCCTTGGAGAATGCAGGCTGCCAAAAGGTTTTCTACTTAAAACTAATCATTGTCACGAGACAATGCATGTGCTTGGAAACTTGTTTCATCTGAAAAGGAATAAACATATTAGTAGGAGTAGTGTTTTTTTTTTCTGTCTTTTGGGATGAAGCGCATGCGTGCATGCAGTGCACTACCGTGCACCGTTAGATTGTTTAATCAGCTTGATCAATGCAATGCATCCATGCGAGTATGCGACCCGGCCGTTTGGTTGTCCCGTTGCACTTGTCACTCGATTTTTTTTTCTTTTCCTTTTTTTTTTGTCCGTGTTGCAGAGCTGAACACTTCCGATTTGACTGAGCGTCGTTCCGGTAAAAGTGGTACCGTTTCCAACCATTTACGATTTACTAGCTAGATATAAAATTTGATTTTTTTAAGTCTTTGTTAGTACTTGTATTGTAGTAGTTGGTAAATAGTTAAATTGATAATATAAAAATTCTGGACCAACAAGAATTGTTTCGGTATGCCCCCGTTACTTATAATCCGCTGCTAAAATTTAAATTTTAAAACTTGTTTTTTATTTTTCAACGTACCTTTTTCAGTATTGATTTTTAAATCGTTAAGTAATATATTTAAAAATTTTATTTATAAATTATCTTTTTATAACTAATAAATCGGTTACTGCTTACAATTAACCGTAGGTAATTGGGACTGTCGTTTCCATCACACCGATCGATTTCACTATGCATGATATGGTTGGACCTGCCTGTTGGTGTAGACTGTCTGTCCCTGTCGGCTGCTTTGATAAGCAGTGGATGAATCATGATGAAAGCGATGTGATGTGTTTGGTGGCATAATATGCCATGGGCATGCCCAAAACGGAACAGGGGCACCGCATATTATGATTGCAGACTCCAGACACAAAGATACACAATCAACTGTTGGAGGGGAGACACAAAATGTGTGTAATTGTGTAAATTACGACCGGTGGAAACAATATGCAACCACGTCGTAACCGTGATACTTCCTCCGTCACATTTGAAGTGCAGCCATAAGTTTTCGCGTCTATCGTCCGTCTTATTTAATTTTTTTTTAAAAAAAATTAAAACATAAGTCAAGCATAAAGTACTATTCATGTCTTATCATCTCATAAAAAATACTAATTATAATTTTTTTCAAATAAGACAGATGACTAAAGTTGGACGCGAAAACTCATGGTTGTACTTAAAATAGGATGAAGGGAGTATAAAAAAGGTTGTAAAAATTTAAGATTTCAAAAAATTATCATATTTATCTTACTAATACGTTAAACTCGTAGGTCTTTCGTAAGTCCTTCTTGTTATATAATGATGGAGTGTTTGGATAATGGGTTATGAGATGTGGGATTGTGAAATGGAAATGAATGGAGGGCTAAGATGAAATAGGGTGGGAAGAATGAATGGTTGAGATTTAAAGATACCCTTTGGGAAATTATTTTCCTAACCCATTAGCCAAACATGCCCTGAATGTTTTAGATAAACCACTCTTTTAAAAAACTAGAGGGCCTAGCATATGGCAATCTCTCTCACTAGGACTTTAAGGGCAGTAGCAGTGCGGCATGCGCGCTTAAGAGGCTAACGATACCAGCTAGCTCAGAACCGATGAAGGAAATGACCTCCACACTACATGTGCGGAGGAACGATGCCAATGTCACGCCCTCCGCAGCACAGGTGCGGATCTCTCTCCATGCGCTACACCCCACGATAACGCAGAAGAACGTGTGACTCTCTTTGGGCACATAATCCTCAGGTTGGTGGGCCCTGACACGGACGTGACGCAGATTTTTCAGTGTGGAGCACTCGGGCTGAACGCGAACATATCGCATTGTGAAAAGCCATAAAAAACCAACTTCATTCCTAACCATAGCATATTCTTTTTTTAAAACACTAGACTTCACAGCATTTCAAACATTTCGAAATCTACCTGATTTTGAATAACCGACACGGTTAACTTCCTTCGGACTTTTGATCACAAATTATTTTTAAATGATTATATTATGGTAAACAGAAATTGTATGGTTATATTTATAATACAACATATATTGAAGTAATTATAAATTTTCGGTGAAAAAGACAAACAGTCAAAGTTTTGAACTTAAATAGCATCCATGTCAATTATTCGATAACGGAGAGAGTAACCACAATAATACTTTACTGAGACCTTTGTATACTTTGTATGAAACATTTCTGAGACGTCTACAAATTTTATGAAACAATTTCAAAATTTACATCCGAGCTGTAGTTTCCATTGCATATATAGTCTCAGTTTGATAACCATAGTAATTTAATACTCCCTCCGTCCTAAAATTTACTACTAGTACTTTTAAGCTTAAACTTGGGTATTAAAAACAGTAGATGAAGTTAAATGGAAAAAGTTTGCGATTGGTTGAGAAAAGAAAGAATATGTCAAAAATTTGAATGAAGAGACGTACTAATTGGTAGAGAAAGTAATGTATATGAAAAAAATAATTATATTTTAGGATAAAATTCGAATGCTAGAAATCAATATACGAGTATTTTAGATCGGAGAGAGAGCAGCTGTCATCATCGCATTTGTGAACAATGGCCCCATCCATCACCCATTAACAGCTTTCGGAGTTTGGACGAAATGTTATGGAACTAGCGGGAATTTTAATTTCAAACAGAAAAAATTTGAAAGAAAACAAGAAAATGTTCCCTTCCCCTTCGTCGCCTCCGTCTATTTCTCTCCTTCGTACACCTCTCTCTCCTCCATTCTCCATCTCTCTCCTCTCTCTCTCTCTAGCTCTAGCTCTAGCTCTGCTCCGATCTGCACAGCTGGCGGCATTCTCCCTCCCTCTCGCGCGCACGGCGTGGACGGCGACGGCCTCCTCCGCCGCCGCGTTCTCGCCGCCGGCCGGTGAGCATTCTCGAATCGAATCGCAGCTTTGTGTTTCAAAAGGAAGGGAATTTTTGGGGGTGGGTTTTGGTTTAGCCCACCTTAAATTAGGTGCGTCCCTGTCACAGAAAAGATAGTCTTTTTTTTTTTTTTGCTTTTTCCAGTGATGTGTTCATTCTGTATTTTGTTTCTATAAACATATTTTTTTTGGTTTGTTTTTGTTGCCTTGCTCGTTTTCTTGCTGCTTGGTTGATCTTCTGTTCGTCGTGTGGGTTCGTTTGTAAACGCGATGTGGTTTTTGAATTTTTTCAATCGATTTGAACTTTTAGGATAAATTGTAAAACGTTGTGGTGTTTATACTGTTTGTTAACTGAAGTTGGTTATTACTTGGTGAGTTTTATGATTTCCAGTTCCATGAGAAAAAAAAAGAATTATTCTGAATTGTAAAAAAATCATAATTGTAAAGATCCATTATCCATGGATAAATCACCATAACAAAGAAATAGTTTTTGTAGTAATGTACATAAAAAGTTTTTTTTTTTGTATTAAGAACTCGGTAGGTACGACTGAACTGAAAGACATCCCATTCACGCATCCATTGACTCGTAGGTCTGCTAGACAATAGTCAATGTGAGCAAGCAAAAATATTTACTAACATGTAAATATTAAGTAAAAGCGCTTGTTAGTGCACTTTCATGTGAATGAGACACAATTTTTTTTTAAAAAAAAACTTTATCTGCTTGTCACTGCCTTTCACCGTGTGAAATAGCTCTAGTTGAACATTTTCTTCATGTTGAACGATTTGCTTGTCATTGCCTTTCACTGCTTCAGAACATTTTCTGCATGTTGAATAATTTGCTTCTGAAGCTGTTGTCAACATTACTTAGTATTCTGTATTACAGATTTACTGTAATCTTTGATTTATGTTTTGTTCATACGCGTAGCTTCTATTTGACTGTAAAAACATTGACATTACTTACCATGAACTTATTGTAGGGAGAAAAGCCACATCTCTTCTTGGATAGTGCACTCTTTGCTGGACATGTCATAATTCTAGTTCAGAGATGGGACCTATGGTTGAAGGGTGTGTTGGCCCAAGTGAGCTTCACTTAAGGAAGGAACTTACCGCGTTGCGGAAGGCACGATTCTTGCGAGATCCCGAGACTAGCTCGACGTGGAGGTCTCCTTTGGATTCTAGACCATTGGCGGCAGCTTCGAACATTGTACACAACAGCAATGGAGTTGGAGACAGTATAGCACCAAAGCATACCGAGTCACCTACACCATCAAAGGGTGAAAAGAAGCAAAAAAAGGTTTATCTCTACAACTGGAGGCAGTATTCTAACAAGTCTAGTGAAAGTGGAATGAAGTTAGATGAGGACATTAATCTGGAAAGTCCACACAATTCTAACGGTGTGGGTTTGAAAAGCAATGCATGTCAGGATGATCCAGTCAACATTTACAATTTTCAGAGCTCAACATCATGTACTCCGATTAAAAGAGTAGCTAGAAGGAGCAGGGTTTTGTTGTCAAAGAAAGGAACAGCAAGAGACCCAGCTGTTTCGAAGTTGCTTGATCTTCATGTCAACTCCACTGAGCAAACTGAGGATACTGAGAACTCAGAGGTGGGTTACTTTTCACGCCCAACATCTCCACTATTTGCAGCGTGTGGATGCGTGAGCGCTTCAAATACCTCTAGATTACTGAAAGTGGGTAGAAGAGAGGGATCTTCCTTTTCTTGCACCCCTATTTCAACTAGATCCTATTACAAACATGGAAGAGCGAACTCCAGTACAATTGGTTCATGGGATGGAAGGACTGCTACTTCTTTTGATGGTGATGAGTCTAACCAATCAACACTTTGGAGAAGTCGGAGGTCTCATGTTCCCGGCTACTCATCAAAGAGGAATAAATGTAAAGGATCTAAAAGAAGTTACTCTCCTTCACTGTCAGATATACTCAGAAGAAAAGGTAGCGGCCTATTATGTGGGAGCCAGACACTGCATAGGAAGAAGAGATCATTTGGTTCATTGAAATGGGGCCATTCAAAAACATCTGCCCATGGAATGTCACTTTTAGATGGTAGCTGTGATTTTGGTTCTTCATCATTTGATTCATCAAGTGATGAACTCTCAACCAATGTAGGGGAGCTTGATTTGGAAGCTTTGAGCCGGTTGGATGGGAGAAGGTGGTCAAGCTGTAAAAGCCAGGATGGGGTTGATCCAGCTGTTCATGGAGCTGATCTGGCAATGGCAGACCGGAGAAGTTTGAGCCAGAAGTACAGACCAAAGTTATTCAGTGAAATTGTTGGTCAACATATTGTAGCACAATCACTTAGTAATGCCATCACAAGGGAAAAGATAGCCCCAGCTTATCTTTTTCAAGGTCCCCGTGGAACAGGGAAAACATCCACTGCGAGGATATTTTCAATGGGTCTCAGTTGCCTTGCTCCTGGAGAAAACAAACCCTGCGGGATATGTAAGGAATGCACTGACTTTTTAAGTGGAAACGGGACTAATTTAATTGAAGTTGATGCAAGCAACAGGAAGAGTATAAACAGAATTAAGAACTTACTGGAAAACATACCGCCATCTGCAACTTCATCCCGGTATAAGCTGTTTGTTGTTGATGAATGCCACATGGTGTCATCCAAATTGTGGTCAGCATTTATGAAGTTCCTTGATGAACCATTACCCCGTGTTGTCTTTGTATTCATAACAATTGATCCTGATAACCTGCCTCGTGCTGTCATATCACGTTGTCAGAAGTACGTCTTCTCGAAGATCAAAGATATTGACATTGTGTGTCGTTTGAGGAGAATATGTGTTAAGGAAAATCTCGATGTTGAGTTAGCAGCTCTAGATTTGATAGCTCTAAATTCAGATGGTTCACTACGAGATGCAGAGACAATGCTAGACCAGTTGAGTTTGCTGGGGAAAAAGATAACTCCTTCACTTGTCAATGATCTGGTAGGTTGCTTGCTATGATCAGATCTATTGCTTCTATTAGTGACTAAATATTGCTTTGCATTACATCAAAATTGCAATTTTCTACAATCTGTACAATATTTTTGCTTCTGAACTTTTCTTGTCAATTTGATTCACTGATTTAGTAATAGCTTATCTTTTAAAATAGTTCAGTACATATATATACATGATACTATCAATTTTCCAGAAATGCTTAATACATATAGTTTTCATCATCTTTACTCATGGTCCTTCTGCTTGAATTATTTGAATGACAGTTCGCTATTTTGTTTTCTTTAATAGAAGTGCAAACTCTTCATATTATCACAATTATCTCTATCGATGGACCACATGTCTGGGTAAAGAATGCTATCGGTTATGCAACCCATAATTTTCGAAATAATGGTACTTAACTCAAGTCGTGTTTTATAGGTTGGGGTTGTCTCAGAAGAGAAATTGCTTGATCTACTTGAGATAGCTATGTCATCAGACACGGCTGAAACAGTCAAAAGGTCCAGAGAGCTGATGGACTCTGGGATCGATCCAATGGCATTAATGTCTCAATTAGCTGGGCTTATCATGGACATCATTGCTGGTACATACAAATTAGCTGATTCTACTGCCAATGATATGGCAGTTGGTGGTCGAAGTTGTGAGTACCGTAAACTTTTCTAAAATTGTTCTTCGTTATTGTTTGCATAAATTTGACTCGAATAACTCTTGCACAAACCATTTCGTACATACTACATAGCACATCTGGAAAAGATAAGTTCATCCAATCTGCAACCCGTTCATCTATCTCTTAACATGTTCATTTCATGCCATGTAGTAACTGATGGAGAGTTGGAAAGATTACAGCAAGCGTTGAAGATTCTTTCTGATGCTGAAAAACAGATACGGCTTTCCAGTGAGCGTTCCACATGGTTCACTGCAGCTCTACTACAACTCAGCTGTGGTCATAGTTCAGAAATGAACCAAGCAAGAAGCAGCACTACAGAGTGCCACAAATCAATGAATGACGCGGTGACTGAAGCAGGAAGAGAATCATCATCTAGCAGGGCCGCTTCACATTCTATATCAGCTTTTGGTGTTTCAAAGAAGCTGCTTGACCCCAAAGCAACCAGTCTGCATTCAAGTCCTCAGGCCCTTGCCTCGCATTCATCTAGGTCAAGATTGAATGGTAACTTTGCTTATGGTGGAGAATGCATGTCTGCTGATAGATTTCTACAGGATTCTACTCAAAGGAGTAATTATTCTGAGCAAAAGGTTCTGGTGAATGGAAACTTAGAAAGTCTTGCCCACATTTGGATGAGATGCATTGAAAACTGTCACTCCAAGACATTGCAACAACTACTTTTCGACCATGGAAAACTAGTATGTGTAAGGCAATGTGAAGGTAAACATATCATGTGCTCTCTCTTATTTTCAGCACGGAGCATATTTATATGGGTCATGTACTGTTTCGAAAGACAAAGTACATAGTGATAATGCACCTGATAAATTTGTGATTTGGTGGAATTTCTCCCACTATATATTGTTTCAATATATTAGGAACTTAATCTTCAATTATGTGTCCTGTTTGATAGAATCATTGAACTACAGAATGTTTTGCTAATCAGTTGAAATCATGTAACTTTAGCTACATAATAGAAATGGAAAAGAAACAGCAGTTACAGAGTTGACGAAATTATAAACTGTACATTGATAACTGTTTGTAGAGTGATGGCGTCCTAGTTCTAACTTATCACATATGGAAAACTCTGACTAGATTGGCCTTAGTTCACACCATCTATGTTGGTACAACATCTACTAGGCTAGCTTAATTAAGTCTGTGGCTTCAACTTGTGGAGGCCAAATACCCCAAAATAGTTTCAATGTTTAATTGTGCAAATAGAATTGCCGTTGTTTAGGACTTAATATGGCTTTCAAATGGGCTGCTTACATATCTCAAAGTTGAAGAGGGAACCTTATCTTCAACATAGGACCTTGTATTTTTTTATGCTTGTGCAGATTTTCACTTATTTCAATTTTCAAAAGAAGAAAGTGTTCCATGTTTGTTGAAGTAAAATTCAATGATCCTTTTTTGCAGGCTGTGTGCTTGCCTTTATAGCATTTGAGGACAGCAGCATAAGGTCTCGGGCTGAAAGATTTCTGAGCAGCATTACAAATTCAATTGAGACAGTACTGAGATGCACTGTGGAAGTCAGAATGGGTCTACTACCTGACTTTATAGCCAGTGGGCTAACATCAGAGATGGGACCTAATGTAAGACGAGCCGAGTCTGATGTCTTGAGTTGTTCATCGAACAGCGACCGACTAAAGGGAACCTTGAACACCTCAAGTAGAAATTTTGATTATTCTGATGAAGTAAAGAAAGGATTGGAGCAGTTCAAATTTGCCTCAGCTGGTGATGAAAGGTTGCAGTCGGCTTCAGTTACTTCTGTAAATTCAGGAAAAACTAAAGCCACACATATGTCAAAGATATCAATGATTGATGAGCAAAGGTTAGAGAGTGCCTGGCTCCAGGCTGCTGAAAAACACACACCTGGCATGGTAAATCAAACAAGACCTGATAGACATCAGGTTGTGCCACAAATTGTCAGCCCGTATGAAAGGAGATCGTCAATGGCCCTAGTTGTGCCCTCAGGCCAAGAAGATGAGGACCTTTCTCATGGGATCAAAGCTATGAAGATTGTTGACAGTTATGGTGTTCAGAAAGACCAGAATGGACGAAACGTAAACAGAAATGTCGTTTCACCGAGCAAGCTGCACAGCGATGATTATTACATGGAAAATTGTGACAAAGAGAGCATGTAAGTAATACATGTTTTTATTCAGTCCCTTTTCCTTTTCAACTTTTAGGACATTAAATTGGTACATCTAATTTTTGAATGAATATTACTGAATATTAGGACATAAAACATGCCAGTAGCGATTCTTTCTTTCCAATCATGGTAGCTAGCACAAAATAACTTGATCTAGAGTTCTGAAATGTGGCTTACAGTTGTTGAATTAACTGATTATTAATTACAATAAATGTTAGAATCCACAAGTTATTGATTCTGATACTTGATCAAGAATGGTTCTAGGATCATTGTGTCATACATTAGTTGTTGACAATGCTGATTCTTGTTACTGCTTGATAGTGTCCTTAACCATTCTTACCGTCTCAAATTTATAGTTGCTCGGAAGCTGGACGACCTGGTTGCCCTGGCCTTTTCCACTGTTGGAAAACTCAAAGATCAAAGAGGCTAAAGGTAAAATAAATGTCACATTTTGTTTGTATATTCTTTGGCAATTGGCAGCAAATGACAGCCTGACACTGTTAAATGCAGGTTAAGAGACAGACGCGTGTCAGATCCTCTTAATCATTTAGAGCAGACATGTTCAATGTTATAGAAGGCGCATTTCAAATATTCATGGAGCAGGAAATGCTACATAGCTTAAAATTAAAATTAAAAGTAGTATGACACTATCACCATCTTTGTCCCATGATTCATTTTCTGTTTCTAGTATATATTCACTCTGAATCTCTGATGGCCTAATATTTTTGGCTTTCTTGAGACAGGAGTTGAGACAATTTAGACTATTTGTCAATCATGTTAGTAACAAGTGTTGTCTTTGTGGACAGTGTATTCATGCTCCAGCCAGTTTATGCTCTCAAAAAGGAAAATTGTCCTTGTACAGGCATTTGGTTTTTTTTTTCATGAGAAACTTGATCTTATGAGTACCATCTCATGAGTGGAACTGATCAATATAGACTAGTTTGATTAGATTTGTGTTTTTGGTTATGTCAAACTTCCTTATGCAAGAATGGTTATTCACTTCAGACAATCCTCATGTAAACTTGCCACCATCTCTGCATTGTGCCATTTTGAGCTGCAAAATTTCTCAACTAATATTCTCGATGTTGATGACCTCTGTGGGATCAGTTCATGGAAATCAATTATAGCAGCTCATTAATTAATTTGACTGAAGCTAAGCTGCCATCATCCAGTGAGGCTGGAGGAGTGAGGTTCAGAGATGCCATGATAGTAGCACTGCTCCATGGCGGCGCTGACGTCATCGTCGTCGTCGGCGGCGAAGACGTCACTCCACGGCCACTGCTGCTCCGGCTCAACGCCGCCGTCTCCCCCTGAGAACCTCACCGGCGCCGGCGACCGGCCATTGTTGTTGCCGGCGGCGCCGGCGTGGTTGCTGCTGGCCGAGCCGGCCGGCGCGATGCTGCTGCTTGTTGGGCTGACGATGACGTCGGCCGCGGCGGCGGCGTCGACGCTGCCGCCGATGCGGACGCCGGTGATGAGGAAGCGGCGGTGGGCGGCGGCGTGCGCAGTGGCGGTGTGGACGGCGACGTCGCAGCTCCGGCAGAGCAGGGCGCGGTCCTCGAGGCAGAAGAAGTAGCCCGTCTTCTCCTGTAATTACGTGCAAATTAATTACTACATCCTAATATGATTAGGATGTGGTTTTTTCATGGACGGATGGAGTAGCTTGGTTAATCGGCAATTTATTAATTACCCCATTTAGGCTTGGTTAATTACTAATTAATCCATTTGAAATGATTAAGAGGATGATCTACACTGAGCAACTTCATAGCAACTAATGATATATCACATCCTATAATATAAGGTGGTTTTTTCTTGAACGGATGGAGTAGCTTGGTTAATCGGCAATTTAATTACGCCCATTTAGGCTTGGTTAATTACTAATTAATCTATTTGAAATGATTAAGAGGATGATCTACACTGAGCAACTTCATAACAACTTTAAACCTCTGAAAAAAAACTTCAAATGAATATAATGCCTATGATATGAACATCTGTACAAGTAGTTAGTAATTTCCATATTAGCTCGAGAAAAGGGAACAAATTTGTATATTCATGTATAGGTAGGAATAAATCATAAAAGTTCTTAAAAAAACTAAAATTGACTCCTGGACGAGCATAACTTTATAGACAATAGTTGTGAAATAATTTTGCAAATACTAAATTGTGAAAAAAAAACTGAAATTGAGACTCCAACAAATATAACTAAAATTTTAAGAATGACTGAAATTGAGATTTCATGACAAATATAACTAAAATTAAGAGTAACGCCAAAAATAACTGAAATCGAGACTATGAAATGTTAATCCCCATTTTCAGAAACATTTAATAAAATAAATACTAAATTAAGAATAAACGCCAAGTATAACCTTGCATTTATTGGTTGCAGATTCAGAATTAAATCAAGAAAATAGAAAGTGATGGATCAACAACGGTTATATATAATCGACAAGCCGACAACATACTTGTATTTTTTTTTCTAATTTTAGATTCTAGAATTATTGATCAGATTGAATTGATTGGTTTGATTTTCAAAATTATTAGTTTATAGAATATATATGTCCATATACAATGTTTCAAAATTTCAAAAACATTGATTAAAAAAAAGAAAATTCATCTGCATGGAAACGTATTCTATGCACATAAGCCCTTACACGTATACACTATACATATCAACTAACAAATGTCATTGAAAAAATCTAGAAAAATTTGTACATGTATTTTCAATAATATTATATCTTCATGTAAAGTCTCATCTTTAAATTGACCCTATATAGAGCGTAACAAAATAAAATAAAATTCTGAAAAATTTATAGTCTTAAGATTGTCAAATTTTTTTTGTTACGAATAAAATATAATAAATTTAAGGTTTAGATTATACATGTAGGTGTAATATTATTGATTTCAATATATGGTTAAACATGTATATAATTAAAATTATTTAGTAGTAGTGCATATAATTTCCCAAAAAAAAACTTTTAGGAATGTTTGTTATGCTAACTGCATCCTCAATAACTTGGCTAGTTATTGTAGTATTACTAGGCATGTGTATCCTTGCTTGAAGAAAATTGGCAATCATCTAAATGCCTGAGTACGCCTTTTTCTCTTCTCTAGTCTCTAGAAGCTAGAAAAGTATACTCCATCTGTCCAACTTGTATGGCTAATTGGCTATATATCCGCATTAATCCAATACGAGTTTGGTTTATCTTGGTCAAAGAAAAAGAAAAAGAAAAGTATATATATATATATATATATATGATATTTATTTTGTACCATGTAAAATATCTCTTTGAATTCCGTATATGAATTAATTAATTTAATTCATAAATTCCCCGCTCTTTTTGACTAAAAGGACACAAATTAAAAGCTCTCTGTGTTAATTACAGCAAGAGCAATTAATCAATCGAGAGTACGTAACGTACCTGGCAGATGTCGCAGGTGGGGTGGTGGTCGTCGTCGCCGGCGGCGGCGGAGGAGGAGGAGGGGAGGAGGAGCGCGACGCGGGTGTGCTTGCCGGCGAGCCTGTTGGCGGAGTGGACGGCGGCGTCGCAGCGGCGGCAGAGCGCGGCCTCGTCGGCGCAGCACAGCACCGCCGCCTCCGCCTGCTCGCACGCGTCGCACCCGATCTTCATGTGGCAGCTTCAGCTAGCTAAGCTACTCGATCGCCGCGTCGTTAGCCCAACGAGAGACCAATTAATGGAATTTTCAAGCTTGACGGATATATATATATATATATAGTTGAATATATACACGAGCCAAGAATTAATGGATATATATATGTGCATATACTCCCTCCGTTTCTAAATATTTGACACCGTTAACTTTTTAGCACATGTTTAACTGTTCGTCTTATTCAAAAACTTTTATGAAATATGTAAAACTATATGTATACATAAAATTATATTTAACAATGAATCAAATGATAGAAAAAGAATTAATAATTACTTAAAATTTTTGAATAAGACAAACGGTCAAACATATTTTAAAAAGTCAACGGCGTCAAATATTTAGAAACAGAGCGAGTATATATTGGCTGCAGTTATGTTCTACTGACAAAATATATATAGAGTGCAAACCACGTATATATCATGGAAACCTGATAACTATCTACGAATTAGATTTGCTCAACTCATCAATAATAAAAAAATTAATAAAATTTTATTGAAAGTAAAACTTTTATTCTTGATGACGTGGATAAATGTCAAGCGTCCGTTTTCAATCTAACGATAATTTTCAGGTTTTCGCTACATATGTGATTTACACTACATATTTTCATATATTTATGTCCTACTATATTACCATTATTTATCGTCTCTTTTGGAAGCTAGTGGTACTTGTATTAAAAATATATGAGTAAATTTCACTTTAGGGCATCTTATATCTAGATAAAAAAAAGTAAGGAAAACTTAAACAATTTTTTCAATTTCTCAATTTTTAATAGATGCCATCACTTACTTTAATCATTCATCTTATTACGTAAATATCATTTAGTTTGTTATGACTTAATTTAACATTGAAGATAATTTAGCATGACTTATATTTTTAAATATTTGTGTAAGACTTTTAAATAGGACAGAATTAAACTTATATAAAAAAATCAATGATATCGTCTATTAAAAGCTGAAAAGAGTGTAAGGTAGAAAAAAAAAGTAGCCACTACATTGTAAGGCCAACGTGTCAATGAGACATCCATAATAGTGTGATCCATATATACATGTCAGATTTTTTTTAAAAGAGAAATAGACATGTCATATCGATTGATCCACTTTTTGCTTTTTCTTCTTCTTTTGGTCTTTTCTTCCTTTCTTGCTCATCAAGGCTTAACTCTTAGTCAAAACTCACAAGTATTTATATTATTTACTGGCCGTTATAGAATTAATGTGATGATCAAATAGATATTTCCTAGAGTTGCTTGTTTTGAATTGGGACCCAATGCAAGTGGATTGTTTGATTTGTTAATTACATGAAAAAATAATTTCTATCAAAATGAATAGGATGAGTATGGAGCATAGATTAATTAAATCTTTATGAACAAGATTTGGTGGTCCCTAAATGATCTGCCTACCTATCACTGTGGTCCTAATCTGTTTTTTTTTCTGTGATCGATCGATCACTGAGATGGCTTTAGCATGCAGCTACTGCTTCGTCGACACATGATCCTTGCTGTGATATTTACTTGTTCTGCAATAAAAGGGAGCAACCACCTTAATTAATGATTAATAATCATTACTCTCAATTTGGTCTTTAATTTCCACTAGACGCATAACCATGCCGATAAACTTTCTAAAGTTTGACTGTCTATCAATATATTTTGAAATTACTTGTTACTCCTTCCATTTCCACAAACAGATGTTTTATTATGAGTATAGTTAAACATTGAAATCTTAAGTCAATAATATCTTTTAAAATAACGTGAATTGAGCTTCCTGATGGTGGAATCTATCCATCTAGATTTGCAGCCGAAGCCACCTTCTGGGCTAGTTGGGTGACCGCTTGGGCTTATCCAACACGTTCCTGCTGTCCTCTCGTCGGCAAACCATGTAAAAATTGCCGATTTCACTGCGGCTCAACAATACCATTGTCTCTACAACCATGGGTTTGGGTCTCCAACTCAGCATAGGTGCTCATATATATGACTAATTATTTTTTTTTGATACTTTCAACAGTATGAACATATATTAAGCAATCTCTTGAGGATTCTTATAAGGGTATGCATGTGTGTGTTAATGTGGGTGACTATGCACGAGTGGATATGAGCAGTTGTGTTTATACTTGTTTCATAAAAAATGATTACAAATATTAATAATTAATATGTAAATGATATCAGTACATTTTTCATGAAAATTGGGTTCAACAATTTTCATAAATATCAGAAAACACAATGACAAAATATGTAGTACATTAGAGTCTATATCTATGCTCTAAATGCAAGTAAAACGAAGGGAGGAGGTTGGTTATATATCTCTAGTGTTGCAAACCAATAAATAAAAGGACATCATTAAAATTGAGGGCGGTAGCCAGTTCCATGTCTAAATTAAAGTACTCATCAGACCTTATCCCTAACACACTCGCTTTATTGCTTTGATTGCTTTGCAAGTTGCAACACTGACCATGACGACTCATGTAACATAAGATCCTCCCTTACTAACAACAGTGGATACAAAATATGTGTACAAGGGAAATCCTCTAACTTACTACTCCATCTGTCACATTTTAGATGCAGCCATAAGTTTCTGTGTCCAACTTTAATCATTCGTCTTATTTAACTTTTTTTAATATTAGTATTTTTTGTTGTTATTAGATGATAAAACATAAATAGTATTTTATGGGTGACTTTTTTAATTTTTTTAAATAAGACAAATGATTAAAGTTGGACACGAAAACTCATAGCTGCGCTTAAAATAGTACGAAGCAAGTATTCTCTAATTTTGAGAACCTGATATGTATCAGCTACCCACATTAGAGGGCAATGTACATCAAAGGAGTCTTCTTCGGTGTACAAGAATGTGCAAGGTTTTAGGCTATCTTGCCGAAAATTCTACTGCATGCGAGGAAATCTTGGCTGAAGATGACAAATTAATCAAATGGACACATCTAGATGGATCAACATCAACATCAATAGATGATGTTGCCGTTAGGCATACACTTGCAAGAACGAGACACAAATGTGTACCTATCCTGAAACGTGTGGCCACTAGGTTACAAATGTAGCTAGCCAAATGCGATATTCTTCTTGCTGAATTTGTTGTTTCTTTTACTGTAATTTGATTTGCCGTTTTGCTTCTCGTTTCTTCTCAGGTTCACACGGTCGAAACAAGTGGTGCACACATAAATCAAATCAATTTTATGAAACCCTTGTTTATATCTTGATATTTCGATTTGCCATTTTTGTTTTTCATTTCTTGCCAGGTTCACACGACCAAAAAAGAACTATCTGGTCAACTGACTCGTGAACATTACCCTGCACACTGTCCAATTGTACATATATCACTGAATTTGAATAAATACGCTAATACCCTTTTTCTAAAAAAATATAATTGATGGCTGCTACACAAAATATGCCATGTCCGAAAGGTAAAAAAATCCAAACACTTTTGGACTAATATCCTGCCTAAGAGGGAAGAAAAAAAACACATTTTGCTGTGCACTCATGCATAATGGTGCAAAATCTTCCATATAAAGCATACAGATTATCACTAATGAAATGGGAGATGAAACTGAAATCATGCCAAAGTCCCATAAAGTAATGAAGTCGCCTTTGCATCCACATAGCAAACATATATCAAAACTGGTATGATTTTTCTGTTTGCTACCTACCAAACGCGATTTGTGCAACTATTATTTCTTCATGAGAAAGTTAAACAATAGTCAGATTCAAACAGCAGCTTGTTAATATCATAAGCAACAATACCTAGTTGACCAACAGTATGGCAATATACCAGCTACTGCCCAGCCCTGGATGCTTCTCTATCTTTAAAAAATAACTCCTTATCCTCTTTCATCTTCTTAACAATCTCAAGTATCTTGGGGTTATGGAAACGCTCTCTCACATACTTCTTTTCCTCTGCCTGTATTTCTTTGATGGCGCTTGGGTATGGATTCGGGGGTGGCCTTTTTCCTTCGATGCGCGCGATTTCTTTCAGCTCCTTGTATGCTTTCTTCTTGGCTTTCTTCTCTGCTGCATACTCCATCTACAAAATGGAATCTAATAAGTACCAAATCCCTATCCCTATATAGTTCACAAAATGCAAGTCTACACTTTCAAAATCGACAGAGTATGACAGAAATAGAAACAGTTTCTTAAAGATATTCAATAAAAGAAATGAAGTATGTACTCAAAAGAGAATGATTACATCTGCTACAGCCATTGCATCATCTTCATTGACTCCGTCCTTTTTCAATTCTAAGACACGCCAAGCAAAAACTCGTGCTGGCGGTGGATCAAACCCGCTTATCCTGTAATAATTGGGCAGATAATAAATTTTGTACTTGAGATGAGATAAATTCAGAAAAGAAAAACTAAAGTCCAACAAACAATCAAAGAAAAAAAAAGGAGAGAGAAACAAAAGGTAAACCAAGCTGTAGTAGGAAAAGGTATAGACAACCTAGAGCAAGGAAAATAACAGAGTCGGAAATTACTTGATTGCGTCATGGTAGAGTGAATCTGGATGCTTTTTGAAGAACCTCTTGACATAAACATCTTCTGGCAACTCGATCTTCTTAATCTTCCCATCAGTACGAGGGAATGTGGGTGGAGGTGCCCTGGTCAACAAACAGTATATGTTCCAGAAGATTAGGGAGCAACATGAAATACAATAGAAAAAAAAGTATAAAATAAGTAAATCAACCAAAACACTTCGAGAAAAAGAATATGAACCATGAATAGATCATCACGTCTTTAGTTTATATAATAATATCAAAATTCAGACAAGTGCAAATGGAACAGGGGAGACAAAACAAACACAAACCCTTCAGCTACAAGTACCTTCTGCCTTGCTCAGGTTTACTTGACATCAAAAAATAGAGAGGAAGCAAAGGGAATCCTCTCTCATTTTACAGGTTTACATTTCACCAAACTTTGGCATTACAGATCAAGTGGATGGCATACATGTCTCACTGCAAAGTGTGATCGGCCCGGAGTGTGGAAGGTGGAAAGCATGGCGTAATTCATTCTGTTTTGAACAATGATCATAACTGATGATTAACTTCCAAAAGGTTGGATGTTTGGACCGAGCACCGCTAAACTAAGACTGTACATGCTTGATGTTTGGGTGTGGACATCAGTAGTTCCCTTGGTATTGCATTTGAGATTTGCCAAAAGGAATGAAGAAACTAGGACGATATTTGCATTTGATTGAAAAGCAAAGAAAAATGAAACATCTAGATAATCAATTTAGCATTAGGATTATTAGCATGTACCCACTGAACTACGCAAGATGAAAAGCATGGTAAAGAAAAGGGCAAACCCAAAAAGAGGTGATTGTGTATGTGAGTATGGAGGGGCATAAATTAATAATACAGAACTACCCGCAGAATTCTGAATATTGCAGCATCCCAATAAATCAGATATGCATGTGCAGCAAGACACCAGCCAACTAAATACAAAATGGAATGGAATGGACAGATAAAGAGCACACTCCCACTTAAAGCAAGCAGTAGCCAAGCTTAGGGTTTCATACTTTCATTAACAGAGTAACCAACTGTAAGCACACCACCAACCAATCACAGTAACACATTGAACGACCTTATCTCTGCTCGTAGCACGAATACTCAATACATGGAAAAAAAGATCAATAAACGCATGTGTAAGGGAACAGCTTGGGACAGAAAGGCAATACTTACTGCTCCATGGCCTTGAGCCATGCAGGGGCAGGTTTGGCCATGCCCTTCACCAGCTTCCGTGTCCTAGTGAGCAGGTCGCCTCGCATGTACGACATCTTGCCTCAGAAGTTGGAATAATCCTCAGAGATCTGCAAGACAGAAAGCCCATCTGAGAGGGAAGTTGAGAAATCTGTCTTGAAACAACCTAGCTAGAAGGTGAATTGGCATTAAGACCTATCAAAATCAAGATTCAAGAAAGAAATGGCGACTTGTTTACCACTATCACTCACAACCTGAAAGCACCTATATCAAGGGGAAGACCTGACAGGGCATTCCCAGTTCTTATTACAAAGAAGTATTCCCATGTTGTACCGTACTAAAGCTCCCACCTTGGTTATCTTGCTCCACCTCTTTCTTAGTATCATAACCAATCACATATTTTTGCAGGGGAGGACCCAATGTGGGGCAAGAGTGCTCAGCTGAACCCCCAACTTTTATTTTTTATTTTTGAAACAGACTGCTAGTAGTACCAAGTTTACTTGAGCACCTCATCTATTTATTACCCAATAAAAAGAAAGAGATACAGAATGAGCAACACATCAATTCCATGGCACTCTTGAGTAACTGACCCATCCAAGCCAGCCGAAATAACACAAGTAAATGTAGATTGGATTGCACATGGACAACGTGGTTCCCATGACAAGATAACTACAGGAGTGAAGCGAGATTCGGAGTGACCGGTTACCTAGTTTACCTAGGGGTGCTTGCTCCTAGAGATGATAATGGAGCTGGGCCAAGCATCCTGTGATCGGATCTGGCATTTGCAAATATGACTAGGTGCTCACCTAGATTGATGGATTACTGGCTGATATCAAGAAGGATGGATGTTTGTAAACCACAGAACCACCGCACATAATCATAGAGCAGTCATTAACTAGATATATATATCAACTAGATGGACTCAGCAAACTCCTAGGAGGGAGCAACTCAAAGTGAAGAGCACAGCACCATGGGCGGATCTAAACTTTTTGGGAACAAACAAAACTGTTATTAGTATCAAGGTGAAGGCAAATTTCTAGAACAGAAGCTAGGGTTAACGCAAAATCGATAAAGGTGCGTGGGTAGAGAGAGATGGGAAAGAGGATGTGCTAACCAGGATGGATGCGGCGGAAGCACTCGCTCGCTCGCGGAATGGATGGGGATCGGCGCAGGCGGCGGTGGCGGCGGAAGCAGCAGGACGAGGCGCCCCTGCTCGCTCGCTCGCGGGACGGATGGGATGGGGATCGGCGCAGCGCAGGCCCTGGGCCGGGACGACCTACTATATTCCTTCCAATTTTAGAGAGGCCCAGCCCAACCGGTGAATCCCCTGCCTCTCTAAACCCGACCTTGGGTTCCAACTTCCAACCGGTTCAACCATCGGTCAATAACGGTATACTACTATATTTTATTGAGAATTTTGGTTTAATCAACATAATAAATATAAAATCTAAATCAAGAAGCCTCCCGTTTTAGTCATATCACGTGACACGCCTCAAAGCCATCCGACCACACATGCACATAGCATGAGTCGCGGAGAGCAAAAAAAGATAAGTACTACTACACGTGTATGTATTACATGCATGTCCTGTTTGTTATTATGTCATACATGTTTTTTTCTTCTTATAAAATTTTCTCTTAGATTACTTATTTGATCTACTGATTATACCATTGTGTTCGTTGCAATTCAAAACAAGATCTTACATAATTATATTATGATGAAAATATATTTATGTTTGTAAACTATTTTTATTATATATATGTAAGTTACTTTTATCGTATATAAAAAAATACTTTCGGATTTGATTAAATTACTTCTTATACATTCATAATGCTCAGAGTTGTTTACTTTTATTATTATTTTTAGTTAATTCCATAATTTATGCTAATTAAATTTAATTTCTTGGTAGACTCATATTTTTATCCCAACAACGAATTTACTTCTAATGTTGTAATAACTTACTTCTATTTTGTGCTAAGTTACTTATATGATTTATGTAAGTTATTTTAAAAATTTATTTAACTTACTTTCATAAATGTATTTACTTGAAAATCTTCTCTAACTCCACGTAGTTTTTTACTACAATTCAGTCATAATGTAATTACTTCTAATGTTATACAGAGTTACTTCTATTGCATATCTAAGCTACTTCTATAATTTAAATAAATTATATTTAAATTAATAAAATGTCTGAATATGTTCAACATGGATCTTGTTTTGTCACATATTTTGAGTAGAGTATAATGATGAAAATAGATCTTAAAAATATATGCAATTTAAAAGATATAAGTCATTAAAGGAGATTTATATATGGGATAGAGTGGTCTCCGGTTAGAACTAACCCACTACCGTATACTACCTAGTCACATCCAATTTGGACGTAAAATATATATTTATTCCGTTTCTAAAACCATTGTAGCAACTAGCCCGAATAGTCAGGTGCGCACGTATGTATGCATGTAGAGGTAGTAACGGGCCCAACTATTTTGCTTAGAAAATTTTGAGAGTTAGCTCTAGAATGCCATGTGCTTACTTTTATACTTTTTGACATGAAAATATTTAAGGATTAGGTAGGGTTTTGAAAGAACCCACATGTCTTGTCCATCAGGGATTCAATCAGGCTAGCTCACTTTTTCTTTGGTTCTACGGAAAAACATCCGGCTTAAATGATTTTTCTCAAGTCAATTACATCTCCAGACTGGCAGTGATTTCGTTTTTTAACCCCTGTTTCGGTTCGATTTTTACAACTAGGATAAGTGAGCACGACAACTGTTGTTCTAAGGTCTTCGGTCGAGAACATCAACTCGTTCATTTGTATTGAAGTTGGGGACTACTGTTAGAGTTATGGATAATACATACCCAATAGTAATCGAGTAAACTCGGCAGGGCTCACATATACTAAGTCTTATACGGAATCATATCTCGTGCATAGAAGGAGTTTCGGATAAAGAAGGACAATTAGAGTTCTACATAGAAACTACAAGGACTACCTTGATCATATATATATTAGTCTTTCTAGTTCTATTTGGACAATAAGACATCTATGAGTATAAATATAAAACCCCTTAGGAGGAGAGGGGAGGATACACAGACCAAGACAAGCCAACAAATACCAATACACGCCGCAAGACATCGACATTAGAGATAAGCCTAAACAGACCCAATCTAGTGCCATTAGAGGCTGATAAGAGGGATCTAGTGTTATCTCTGATATGTGATCACGACAAGTTCATATTCGAGGAGGAAAACTACCCCGTTGTCGACTACGTGTTGGTGTTCCATGTCGCCAAGTCAAAGATAACTAGATAGGTTATCTCAAATATTGTACTTGTGTGATTCTGATGAATAAGAACAACACCGGCTTTAGCCAACAGGAGTAGGGCTATTACATGATTCTGATTAATAAGGGCCCCGAACCTGTATAAAAATCATTGTTTCCATCTCTTTGCCTCAATCTCGCATATACCCTGGTACCAATAATCCCCATACTCCGTAAATACCGTAGTTGTGATCTAAACCATCGGCATTTGTAAAAACTTATTTGTGTATATGTTATTATGGTGTAGGCAGACGTGTATTTAATTATTTAGTTTGAACTCATAACTCATAAGGACAAGGTTCATATAACATTTGTGCTGTGCATATATTATTATGGTGCGCTTGTAAAGAAAATTGTTACTATTATGTTTTTCTCGAGATGTTTAGCGAAGTAGGATGTGTATTTATAGAGATAAATGTGTGCACATAAACAAAACATAGTCTGTTAGTTTCAGGGGTGAAAAGTTTTGGCGTATCACATCGGATATACGGACACACATTTAAAGTATTAAACGTAATCTAATAACAAAACAAATTACAGAACTGTAAACTGCGAGACGAATTTATTAAACCTAATTAATCCGTCATTAGCAAATGTTTACTTTAGCACCACATTGTCAAATCTTGACGCAATTACGCTTAAAAGATTCGTCTCGCAATTTACATGCAACATATATAATTAGTTTTTTTTTCTATATTTAATACTTAAATGTATGTGTCAAGTATTCGACGTGTTACGGTGAAAAATTTCTGCGTGAGAAGCCATAATTACTTTTCTTAATTTTGGAAACGGCGGTCGCGGGAAAGAAGCCCGTTTGTTATCCGTTCGCCCGCAACGCAACACGGCCACCGCAGCTTCCTCTCGCCTGAGCCGAGCCTCCCTCCCCTCCGCCGCAGCCGCCGCGCCATGGCCCCGTCGCCCACCCGCCTCCTCCACCTCCCCCTCCTCGCCCCGAAGCCCTCGCCGCCGCGGTGTCTCGTCAGCCGCCGGAGTCGGCCCCGGCCTGCCGGCGACGCCGCCCGCTGCGGCTGCGCCACGGAGGCAGGTGGCGGCGGTGGCGGTGGAGGCTCCGTCGTCGTCGAGGATGATCTCTATGAGCTCCTGCAGGTGTCCACTTACCCTCTCTCGTTTCTTTATCTCACCTTCTCAATTCTTTTTTTAGCTGCTCATGCATTCCTTGCTTCAATTTTGGAGCTGTTGAATGTTCTTCAATCTTTATCACAATGAAGAAATCAAAGAACATTGCAATAACCAAGTATTATTATTTGACATGGGTTATATTATACTATTCCCTCCGTTTTATATTATAAATCGTTTTGATTTTTTTCTTAATCAAACCTTTTTTAAATTTGACAAAGTTTATAGAAAAATATAGCACGTCAAAATATATTAAATGTTAGATCTAATAAAATTAATTTAGTTCTATAAATATTGTTATGTTTTTTCTATAAGTTTAGTCAAATTTGCAAGAGGTTTGAATTAAAAAAGTCAAAATGACTTATAATACGAAATGGAGGGAGTAGTAGATAGCCTCAGCTAGAGAGCTGTTACTGCAACCACCTTTGTTGTTGGTAACCTCTCGAATGCTGACCCCAGTTATGTTCATAACCTTTTGAATGGCGAACTCCAGCTTACTATGTCGAATGAAGATGGCTGTGAAAGCTCAATTATACATCACATCCAGTTAACAGGAATCTCTGCACATCTAATGTAAATGAGACTGATCTAATAATCAAGCTCTTGATGATTATGCAGTTGATCAATGTTACATAGGTGGGGAACTGAGGATAACGACTGTTCTGTTTAGTGATGGCAGAGATGGTGATAAACATGTTTAGTTTGCATCATCTGCTCTTAGTCCAGCACTAGCTATTAGTGTAAGAAGAGACGAACATCCTACCATAAATTCTTTTAAATAAATTGCTAGGATGGCCATGTTACTGCTCTGAGATGAATTTGTTTCAATAGAAACTAAAATCTTTATGCCCATCGTGTTTCTAAGTGCAAAGCCATTTCTCTCATCCATACTTGATTAGACTGTTGTGTACTAGTAATTTGGTATAAGTGGTTCTTGTATGCTAGTTGAGTGACAGAGGGGCACCAATATATCCTTTACAGGTTCTACCAAGAGATTTGCGAGATAATCTGCAGAATGAACCTAGAAAGGATCAGCTTTTAGAGGTAAGCTAGATGCTGCTGAGCTCTGTCGTATTTGAATATTCCAGTGAAATTAGGCTATTATGGATTTGCAAAAATACCCTAGCTGATGAATGGGTGATTAGGTTATTCTGGATTTGGGGAGACGACCTGAGGCACGTTTCCTTGGTGACTCTGGTGGCCAATATCTACGGGACAGTGAGGTATAAAGCTACAATAGTACAATTTTGTCCAGTTCACATAGTTATGTTTTGCTTCCTGTGTATTGACAACTAATTTATGTTCTCTGGATTGTTTGTACGATAGATCTCACAGCAAGAATTGGAGGAGGCGCAGAGAGCTGTAGGAGAATTTGGAGGTGACAATCGTGCAGGAATCGAAGGTACATTACATAGAATATCTGCCATAAGGAGCAGAAAAGGAATGGTTGTTGGTTTAACCTGTCGAGTTGGCCGTGCCGTTACTGGGCATGTTGATATGGTCCGTGATCTCTTAAATTACAAAGAAAGCATTTTGTTTCTTGGAAGGTATGTCGCCTTTCGGCTTCAACATTTTTATCATCCTTTTATTATTCCTTTTATTAAATATAAGGTACCCCCAAAATTGCTCAGTACTACTTGCAAACATTACTAGTATTACAAGAGTGACCATATTTTTTTTTAATTCAGCAGCATCTAAAGTAGTCTTAATCTGTGCATAACTGTTCAGCAACACGAGTCTATGACCTTATGTTTTTACTTCCCTTTTCCAGGATATTCTATGAAGTGATATTGTGATGATATTTCAAATGATCAAGCTTTCTATATTTTGCAGAACTAATTAAAGAGGAATTAAAGGAAAAGGACCTAAAATTCTCCAGATAAATTCATATAATATAACCTTTCTGATAGTCCATGATGTTGAATCAAGATGTTGCAGTTAAGTAAAATGCAACCTCTATGGCTGGAAGAGATCTTCTTTAGACCTTCGATTGTAACTAGATCACTCCTTGGTTAGATTAAGAAATATACCAAGAACCGACATAGTTTGGGAGGATTTATCATCATACAAATCTGGAATTCCATGTATGCTGTAGTCTGATTGTTACAAAACACATTTTACATATGCTGTCCACTCATGTCCCTTCAGGGACTCAGGCAAGGTGTGGTGTAGTCATGTGCATTTTAATGCAATTTGAAATTTCATTGATTTGTGTTTTATTTGGCCAGGCCTGGGGTTGGCAAGACTACTGTTATGCGTGAGATTGCACGTGTTCTAGCAGATGAATTTCAGAAAAGAGTGGTAACTAATCGATGTTACAATCTTGCAGACTTTCTTACTCATGTTCACTTTCTTCATATTTAATTCCTTACATGTTCTATCGGTGTATTGATGTTTAGGGCAGGTAATTGTGGATACAAGTAATGAGATTGGTGGGGATGGAGATATTCCTCATGCTGCGATTGGTGGTGCAAGAAGAATGCAAGTAGCTCAACCATCAATGCAGCATAGAGTGATGATTGAAGCAGTCGAAAACCATATGCCTGAGGTGGTTATTGTAGATGAGATAGGTACTGAAGCAGAGGCGCAAGCTTGTCGATCAATTGCAGAAAGGGGTGTGATGCTTATTGGTACAGCTCACGGAGAACATCTCGCAAACATTATAAAGAATCCAACTTTATCTGATTTGGTATGCCATTATTCACTTAATTTGCATTAGATGCATACTGTGTCCTTCTGTTCAATATATAACTTTTACATTGCATCTTACTCAATGCAGAAATGTCAAATGCCTAAAATGAGCTTGACTGAGAGTAGTATTCTTTCATTTGCTGTCATCCTATAAGCAGGTTCATTTGCTGTATCTGTAGTTGCAAAAGCCTAGAATTGTTCTGCTATTATTGGTTGAAAATGGACTGTGAAGATGACAAGTGCCATTGTCTTATCATGTCATTCAAAGTCATTTTTTTGTCATTTGCTTATGGATAACAATATGTAGTTAACAGTATGTCTTCGAGCATCCTATCCAAATTTCTTACATCTTACATCCTTGCTTTTCGAGAGTTCAATTGCAGATTTGTTTAAATAAACAAAATTTCAGATAAAAAGAGCATAATTTATGGGCCATTCAGTCATATTGTAATTCTATTTTGTTGGAAAATCAGATTGGAGGAGTAGAAACTGTCACTCTTGGTGATGAAGAGGCCCGTGCTCGCCGCAGTCAGAAAAGTATTCTGGAGAGGAAGGCCCCTCCAACATTCCCTTTCCTTATTGAGATGAGGGAGCGACACTACTGGGTAACTCATCGGGTATGTCTATCAGGCTACAATCTACATATGTCAAACGGTCATGAATATGTAACTTTCAACTTCACCTTAATAAGGTGATTTAAGCTGATGCTGAACTAGAATGCTCTGAACTGAAAATGAAAACCAAGTAAAAAACATCAGATTTGCACGGAAACAATATATGTCTTAGTTAAGATCCATATATATGTGCTTGCAGGATTCTGTGTAAAGTGTAGGAATTGATGGGGGAACCAAATATGATCATCAATTCATCATATTTTGCAGTACTAATGCATTTCCTAATTCACAGTTTTACTTATATTGTTCTAACTTGTGAACTAGTAGTATTCTTATGTCCTGACTAGGCATGATCAGCAATGATTTTATATCACACAACTGAAATATATATAAACGTTATATTTTTTTTCTTGACCAAATGCTAGGTTAATGAGATAGTTATTTACTATAATGCTAGGTTAATGACTGGTTGCCTTTGCGATAATTACTCTTTCTTACATCATCCTTATTGAATTGAACTACTTGTTCACTATTTCTATTGCTGCTCTATTTTTCAACTATTTTTTTTTCAAAGCTGAAGATGCTTCCTAAAGGTTATCACCTCTAAATTAATTTTATAGTATTGTTCACTGGGCGATGAATACAATACATGGTGTCTGTTTTATGTGCAGACTGAAAGGAGTGTGGACATGTTACTTCATGGCAAGAAACCACTTGTTGAGGTAATATAAAGCTAGCAATTTCATGACGATAAATGCAAGATTTTTTGTGTGTGTATGTGTGTGTAGTTTTCTGTACCACTAGTTAATCGTCTGATTTACCTGTAAGTTTCGCTTGCAAGCATAATATTCTATTTGCCATTGTGCTAGCTGCGAACTAGAGCATTCCAATGTTGATTCTATGGGTAAAATTATCTAAGTTATTCTTTATTTCAGTGCAATGTTGTTCTTTAGCAAAGCAAAATCTTCATTTCTGTAGTGATTCTCTCCATGCAATAATTTCAGTCCGAACATAATGTATAAAGCATCAACTGACAACTTGTCACATTTCAGGTCAGGAAAAGGGATAACAAGTTTCAGGTTGTCATTGAAAGATGGGCAACGTATGATGGAGATGGACTCTGAAATTCTGAATATGAGCTTACCTGTTACAGTTGCTTTTATCAAACTGCATGTTCCCGTCCCTCAGGATCCCTGTGGACTAATGTATACTTATTCAGCGTGTTGTTGGTATTGATTCCAAAGACTTGTCAAGTTATAGTACTGCTACTCCGGCAAAGGAACTGGTGCTGTTCATTGAGGTTAGTGCACAATTTCCATGCTGTTGCTCTCAATCAATTGCATATAAGTTTTTCTTTTCTTTTCCAGTTCAAAATCGTTTTTCTCTGAATCATGATAGGGTTTATTTGTGTAGACTTGAAGTTATAAATGTATTTTCTGTTTTGGCACTGAAAATGATTGTGTATTGGTTATATTTCTCATATGGCAGAAAATGAAGTGAAACATCCTGCATAGGTGCCTCTGGTGAACATTTGGACTAACTATCCCGGAATTGTACCTTTTGTGTTTCAATGGCAGTTCATCAATTGATTCCTAGTTTCCAGAAATATGAGAGGAAAACAGCAGATAAATCTATCCCAATTAGCTAGAAGATTTTACTGTATGAGGTTTTGATTAGCTCAGGAAAATTGTTGTATGGATTCAAAATCTTTGTTGACAATTACATTTGAATACAAAAGGAAGAAGTTCAAAAGTAATGCTGTTTAATGTCCTGTTGTTAGTTTTGTACCTCAGCTTCTTAATCTTCAATTCCTATTGCAATGATAAAAAGGTTGAGATGAGTAAAATTTAGTAGTCCCGTTCCCAGTTCCAGCTGGAGCTGAGTAGGTCAAAAAAGGATTGAAGAAAGGCATTATGATAAAAGTGAAAGTGAAGTAAATAACAGTAAAACTTGCATTGCAGCTGTTCTGAGCCAACTGAAATTGCTGTTCTCTGAATCCCACAGCACAATGAAGCATCCCCTGAAACATGCTAGATGTACCTAATTCTGACTCCTGGTGTTTATAACCATGTGGAATATGCTACAATCTCATTGGGTGCATGGTTTAGTTCAGCTGCAGGACCTGCAATTCTCTCTGTGGTCCTTGTGTACAGTTTCAGTGCTAAACCCTGAATTTTGTAGTTTGCACAGTGTCAATGCCAGTAGTAAGAATGCAGACACTTTGTTTGTAGTAACCCAGTTGTTTTTTTTCTGAGCTGTGAACTGATTGCTGCATCGCTGGTACATTAGTACTACATATTATCATGCAGCTCCTCCTATGGACCACAAGAATCAACATCAACACATCTCTCTGAACCCTGAACCATTCATGCTTGAGTTGCTGAGGCTATACCTCTGAAATTTTGTTCACTTGCAATTTAATTTGTTTTGTTGGTGTTTGCAATGCAGAGATGCTGAGTCATGGTTGGTTCATTGGTTGACATCAGGGAGTAACTGCCATTGCTACATTTCCCAGCAAGAGATAAAGAGGCTTTCCTGCATGGCCAAGTGTGCCCTTGCTTGTTACTACATGTTAGTGCCAACAGCATCTGTCCTTGCTGTGGCAGGGCTTCACATGCCTGTGGCATGCATATGCATGAGCATGATTGATCTCTTGCACAAAGAGACAGACAATGGCTTATTTCTTGTAGTCCACTCCTAAACCTGGATTCAGTCAACTTTGCATATACACATCAGTGTGTATATATGATCATCAAAAGTTGTATAAGTAGTTTGTTTGCCCTTGATCATTTTTCTCTCCCTCATCTATACTCTTTTTCCTTGAACTGTTCTTTCATGTAACAAGAAATGCATAATCTTACCTCCTTCAGGAATGAGGGTTCTTGGTACAACAAGAAATGAGGTTTCTTGCCTCAAAGGGAACTTTGCTTCAGGAATGCATCATCTTAATTTCTGATATCTCTTGGTACCTCAACACTAAAATGATAGTATTAAGAGGTAAAAAATCACAGTTAAAAATATGATACCTTCCTGTGACACCTAGCCAAATTAATGCAGATTTTGGAGGCAGGGTGAGCATCACCAACAGATTACCTATAATCTTTCCCCAAAAAATTGTTTTTGGATTTCCTAAATTGAAAATAGGAAGTAAAAAAACTCTTCCCTCCAATAGATTCAATTCCAAAACTTAAAAATGATCCTTCTGTTAAATTACTAAGAGAAAATTTTTCTTTCACGCACAGAAAGATCACTATCTCCGACGCGCGGGAACGGGAGGAGAGAGGCGGGAGTGCTAGATTGGGAGCGAGTTTCACGCCCGCATATAAACGGAGCGAGGAATCAGGAGTAGGGAACTCCAAAACTCGGGTAGGAGAGTAGGGGATCTGTTGGAGCTGTTTTTTAGACTAAAATCTCTCAAAATCAGTTTTGGGAATCAGATAGGTAGACTGTTGGTGATGCTTTTAGGTTGTTACACTCCCGATACCTAATCATGGGCCGTAATGTAATACTATTCTATTAGAAACTACAACCTTACTAATTACTCTAGATGTTGGTTGCTATGAAAAAATAACAAGAAGTTGGATGAAAAAAGAAATCAAGTTCAGTCTGGTCTGATTTGGAGTGAGTAATGGTTGAATGGATCAGCTGCATGCCTGCCTGCCAAGCCAGCCTAGCAGTGGCATCAATGACAATGAGTTAAGCCAAACATGTACTGCAACAGTGAAAAGGTGAAAAAGGGTAGTAGAAAGAAAAGCTAACAAGTTATCATTCTGGCCTGTCTGCAAGGTAACTTGTCTGCAAAAATTTTCCTAGGCCAACAGTGCCCTATGGGCTTCCTTCTGTACTTACCCTCCCCTGACTCCCCTGTGGTAAAATAGTGTCATTGTCATCATCTAGCTTCTGAAAGCCAAGCCATGGATCATGGATGGAACCACTGAGAACCCAAGGTTGAATCAAAATTCAAAAATGTTGTTTTTGAAAACACTTTCAAAAGGCAATGTTAATTGAAGCCTCATTTGGAACACGGGAAATTTCCGCGTTTTCCATAATCGCTTAAACGTGCATTTTGTCCAGACTCAAGAAAATTCCTGGGTCTTATTCCACTGTATTTGGGATCACAATGGTGCTTGGATGATAACACTAACAATCTTATTGATCACTGATGATATCTTTTAGAACACCATATATACTATCTGAAGGGGAAAATTTCTTGCTCATACGGAACTTAATTGTTTCCTGTGACAAAATTCATGCGAAAATCCTACAAAATTCCTTACACCTTATAAAGGTTCCACCAATTCTCCATTGTGCATGATATGCATCAGGAAAAAGGAGTTGTTGCACAATATAGAATTTGCCTTCCTTTAATTACTTGCAAATGATCAGAATTATTTTTTTTAGAAACACAGTATAAACCTAGGCCCTGTTTAGATTCTAACTTTTTTCAATAAACTTTCAACTTTTTCGTCAGATCGAACTTTCCTACACGAACAAACTTTCAACTTTTCTGTCACATCGTTCCAATTTCTTTAAACTTCTAATTTTAGTGTGGAACTAAACACAGCCCTAGACGCTCGTAATTTCTGATGGAGTAGTGCTTACGCTCGTAATTTCTGATGGAGTAGTGCTTAGCTAGCTATTACCTCTGCCGGATAATACACGCACGCATGGATGCATGGTATGATCCTTGTTCACGTGCAGCCGAGGACGTCGCCTCCGATATGATCCTTCACTACTTTCTTGTAAAGACAGTAGCATCTGCATCTCTGCATTTCTCTGCTGCAGCTTCTGCAGTGATCTGATCTTGCCGTGACGTCTCGACGATCACGCAAAGGAAAAACGAATGGAGAAAGGAAAGAGAGAGAAAAAAAAAAGGAGATAGGAGTAGTAGAAGAAGAAGGTCTTCAGTCTGAATTTCTGATCGATTTGATTGCAGCTGCCTTCTTCAGTTTCTGCATTTCTGCCTTCTTCAATGCCATCTCCCTCATTGCATCGATCTGTTGAGTTCTCATTGGATTGGAGGCCTGTGGTGTGCACTGTGCCACATGTGTTAAGGTTGCTTCCTGAAGATTACATGCAAGAGGGTTGGTTGATCAGTTCAGTTCAGACTTCAGAGTGCAGGGTTTGCTTGCTTTGCTTTGCTTCCCTTCCCTGAATCTGTGGAGCAGGTTTTGGGCCCTGCCAGCAGCACAGCCACTGCTTCCTTTTTCTTGGCCTGCAAATGTTTGCATCTCAAGCTAGCTAGGGGTGTGTTTAGTTACTGAAAAAAGTTGAAAGTTTGAAGAAAGTTGGGAGTTTAAAAATAAAGTTGAAAGTTTATGTGTGTAGGAAAGTTTTTATGTGATATGATGTGATAGAAAGTTGGGAATAGAGAGAAAACTAAACACGGCCTAGGGCATTGACCACAGACATTAATCAAACAACTCTATCTAAAAAGGATAATCAGAAAACCTGAGTAATGGCATTCATCAAAACAAGAGAGCTACCAAGAATGATACTAATCCCTCCATTCATAAATATAAGGGGTTTCGGGTTCAGTTTTGTAAAGAAAATATAAGGGATTATATAATACTACTATCCAACCACGGTATTTATTGATCACCGGTAGTTACTCTCTCCATTCTGAAATGTAGTTGTTTCTGGCTACATATATAGATAAGAAATAGCTAATATCTATTTTAGGACGGAGCGAATACATTGCTAGACGTGATCTTTCCTACTCAAGTAAACTTTCAGGGGGCATCTCAAGTTAATTTTATCTCAATTTTTAATCTTTGTTGAACAACCTAGAATCAGAAGTAGTATATGCTTGTAAAGGTGACCCTGCCTTTCTGATGAAAAGAACATGCATGCAGAGATAAGGCTAGCTAGCTAGCTGGGAGCATGAGATGGATGAGAGATCTGATGGCTTGCCTTGCCAGCAACCACACCAAGCATGAGCATGCACAAGAGAAGCAGTCAGCTAGAGCTATAGTCACTCACTCTCTCACACCACATGTGCAGATGGCCTGGCTTCCTCCTTGCAGCAGCATGGCAACATGCCATACACATCTCTCTCTCTCTCTCTCTCTCATCACACACACACACACACAATGTACAGTGACATACACAGAGGCCATGCTTGCATGCAGCAGCAAAGGGGCAATGGAAGCTCTCTACAGTGCTGCCTCTGCCAAAGACACTGAAATTAATAATGGCCTCTGTATGTACAGAGCTTGATAGTACTACTCTACAATGCCTGCTACTTTCTCTCGAAAAAAAAATAAATCCTAAGAATAAATCTAGATAAATATTTGTTCAAACTCATCTGTAAGATTATTTTTTTTTACCGAGAAAGTATCTTTTAAAAAAGGTAATCAAATACTCCAGTGTTTCGAATTAGTTATTGTTCTATCTTTGTCATAAGTTAAAACTTTTTTATATTTGATCATTAATTTCTAAAAACTTTGATCATCAATTTCTAAAAACTCATATAATTTAATGACATATGGACTGTACATATTATGAAAGTATTTCTCATGGTGAATCAAAAACATATATCTTATGATGTTGAACTATATGAATATCTAGATAGTCAAAGATACAAAAGTTTAACTTGCGACCAAACTAGAATAACAAATAATTTAAAACGGCATGAGTACTCGTCATGAAAAACAATAAGGCAATGTGTGGTCGACATGATATATTGCATAGCGTGGCTTGCATTGTAGATATAAATTTTTAAGTTAAAACTTTGAATAAGGCAACGGGTTGCTAAATTTTCATGGAATTATATTCATCTGAGCTCTTCTGGTTGATCTCTTAGTAAGTTATTAGTGGCTAACCGAATTATGTATGTATGCTGAAGCACACATGAAGAAAACAAACTCAACCTTACAGGTCCATCTAAGTGAATAACATAGGCCATAGCCATCAATGTCTTCTCTTTTTCCGTACACTTGTATAGATGCCTCTTTTTGGAGGTGTATAGGGAAGTTAGGAGTGCTCGAGTGTTGTTAAAATTACTAAAACTTTATCTGTAAAAAGACATTTCATCAATGCATATGTATTTCCCGCTCTTATCCCGGGGTCCTCCTAAACCCTAGATGTCTCCCTCCAACCCGGCCCTTACTATTATCGCAACTGCATTATCCACACCACTATATATGTTGGCAGTGTCCGTGGTGTAAATGAGGTCCGCCATTAAAATAATGAGCTCATAAACCATGGTGATAAAATACTTTCATTTACTTTGTTCTTTGTCACTTTAACTTAATCATTGTTTATACTAATTGATTAATTCGATAACTCCTACCATTTTGTTTTTTTTTATAAAAGGAGGCATGTAGTTAGTCCTTCCCCTACTGTGCCTCCACTATAAGGATCCACCTTCCTACGTCATCTTAGACGACAATTATTTGTCGAATGCAACATGGGCTGGCAAATCACTCACTTCCTAAATCACTTTGGTGCTCTTCTTTCCTGCAAAACTCCACAACATTTTCTTCATCCATGGCTCCTATAATGCCACCGTTGACTCGCCTCGCCACACCTTCCATCCATCTAGACCTACCCTACCACCTTGAGACCTCCTCCATGGTCAACCCCTAAACCCTAATCCACTGGATCGTTCTCGCCACTGACAAAGACGAGTCTCTTTTCGCATAAATCTTGTAGGGTGAATCCGCCGACCGAGAAATTTCAGCACCCAAAGGTTCAAGGGATACTCCTTAATTAGGAATCACCCCTTTTTTTCATTAAGAGAAAGTGCCTTAGCCTCCTTCATATAAAATGCTATGTTGAGCTCATCATCGCCATGATTAAGATGTAGCGCATGTCTGACTGCTCACTTCTTCAGACTGTAGTAGTAGGAGGAGCACTTTCAGAAATGCAGGCGTGCAGCCAAGCCAAAGCCATGGAGATGTGATGCTACTACTGTACCTAGGTTTACTACTACCTCCGTCCCAAAATATAGCTATTTCTAGCACAGTACTTGGTCCCAAAATGAAGCTATTTTTCTACCTACCTTCTCCTCTTAACCAATCACAACCATTCTTTTTCATCTACTTTCTCTTTTCAACCAATCACACACATTCTTTAATCGTTCTCACCTACTTTCTTAATACCTGTGCCAACCTCAAAAATGCTTACATTTTGGGACGGAGGAAGTAGTAGTACTACAACACCGTCAAAGGGGGTGTTTAGATAATGAGGCTTAAAGTTTTGTTGTGTCACATAAGATATTATATAGGGTGTTGCATGAGGTGTTTGGACACTAACAAAAAAAACTAATTACAGAATATGTCGGTAAACTATGAGACGAATTTATTAAGCCTAATTAATCCATCATTAGCAAATATTTATTGTAGCACCATATTGTCAAATCATGGAGCAATTAGGCTTAAAAGATTCGTCTCGTAAATTAGTTGCAATCTGTATAATTAGTTATTTTTTAGCCTATATTTAATATTTCATACAGTGTGACAGGGTGTAAAATTTTGAGGAATGATCTAAACAGGGATGTGGTTATATACTTCTATTCTCTTTTCTTTTGGAACATGTCTTTGCAAAGTGTAATGGAAGTGTATGTGTGACAGGATTCCATGGAAGGTCGACAACACCAGACAGACTGACAGATGCTTGCTCCATGGGGAACTGGAGCAAGTATCATCAGCTCAGCTACCTGCTAGTGATCCCAAGTAATCAGGGCCCAAACCTAATAGTAGTAGAATTATCAGCAACTACTATAGGACTAAAAAACAAGATTATTACAGTGTAGCAGGCTACAACCAGATGGACTGATGGAGATCACAGCACTGAGAGGAGAGGACAGGTCTTGTGATGAACTCTGAAACTATTTCAAGTAGTTCACATGATACAAGAGCTAGCAAAGAGTACTTTTATTGATGTTCACAAGGTTTCTGTAGGACTTAACTGCAATTATGCTTATAATTAAAATTAGTATGTTACACTACCAAACGTTGCAAAAATCGTGCATATATAAATTGATTTGTTCTTGTTGTCTTAGTTTATTTTATTTTCTATGTTACCTGCAACCTGATAGAAGTAGATGCAGAGGCCAAGTGTATTTTCATTTTATTTCTTAATGGATTACCACCCCCACCCCCCCTCCTCTCCCAAAAAAAATCTAAAGAAAAAAAATGAAAATTGTGAATTGGCTAAGTTGATTTTCATTTTTTTTTTCTTTGCAAACAACCAAGCCATGAAGTGCAAGCACATCATCTGAAACTGCCAACAAACAGCATGCAGAAATGCCTTGGCACACCAGCTCACTCACCAAGCTTCTTCAATTCCTCAGGGGCTCCACTCCCATACTGCATATATTGCAGATCTTGGTTTGTGCATTAACCATATTTGGATCACCCCTCCCTTGCCACATGCTTCCCTGCCTCCCTGCACACCCACACATCTCCTCTCCTCTCCTACATGCCCCCCCCCCCCATCAAAAGAATAATTGAGCCAGTTTGTCAAAAACACACATACACTTCATCAATCATTTGTGTTATGCCATCCATTATTGATTAGACCATTCTTGCTTGCTTGCTAGCTATAGCTAATCTGGTCAGAGGTATCAGAGGCTGATGATGCTAACTAACAACAAGAACAAGGAGACACACAAATTGGAATTATTAGCTGCTGATCACTCACACGATATTGTACTTGCTTCAGTGATCACTGTGGATAGCTGTGCTGATCATCTAGTAGTTAGCTACTACTTGGAACTGAAGACCACATCATATCATATCATGAACAGTGGGGAGTGAAAGCTACAAGTCATGGATGTGCATGGACAGGTGATTTCAGTTTCACCCCCCTCCCACAAATTTGACATCACTCACATGATCACCAATCAGCTCACTAATTAACACTAGACAACAAGTTAGAGAAATCAAGAGAAAAATAAAACATGGATTAATTAATTAAACAAGAGAGAGAGAGGATTAAGCATCAATTTGATGGAACAGTAGTAGAGCAATGCAATGCAATGCAGCTAAGCTAGAAATGAGGCTTTTGTTGTCAACGGATTTCTTGATGTGTTGGGTTACTGGAGCCGGAGGTGGTGCGGCGGCGGCGGCGAGCTCGCGCCGCCGGGGGTCGGGGTGCGGCGGCGGCGCGCCGTCGTCGTCGTCGTCTCCGGCGGCGGCGGCGGGGGAGGGGTGGAGGTGGCGGCGGGCGAGGGTGTGCTTGTTGTTGTGCATCCAGACCTTGAGGACGCGGCGCTTGACGCCGACCTCCTGGCAGAAGCGCTGCACGACGGCGTCCTCCAGCTTCTGCAGCCGCCACCCGACCTCCTCGGCGAACCCCAGCATCCGCGCCTTCTGCTCCGCCGTGAACTTGGTCCGGAACCGCTTCCTCGCCGCCGCGCCGCCGCCGGGGCGCGCCGCGGCGTCGTCCGACTCCGACGTGTGCATGGCGCTCAGCGGCATCACCATCCGCGTCGGCGGCGGCAGCGCCGCCACCAGGAGGTGGTGGTGGTGGTGGCCGTGGCCGCGGGGGTGCGCGCCGACGCCGAGCAGTTGGTGGTGGTGGTGGTGGAGCGGCGGGGCGGCGGCGGCGTCGAGCTCCTTGCGGTGGAAGTTGCGGTGGCAGCCGCAGGCGGAGCAGCGGAGCGCGTCGAGCGAGCCTTCCTCGCCGCCGGGCATGAACTCGCCGCACCCGTCCGTGGCGCTGCCGCCGATGGCCGCCGCGTGGTTCTTGAGGCACTCCCTGTACCTCGCCGCCGCCGTCGCCGACGACGACACCACCACCACCGCCTTCGACTCCTCCGCCGCCGCCGGTGGCGTCGGCGGCGACATGTGCCGCCCATTCATCCCTCCACCGCCGCCGCCGCCGCCATGATGGTGGTGGTGGTCATGGTGCAAGCCGAGGTACGGCGACGCCGCGGCGTGCATTGGCAACGGCAGCTCGCCCTGCGCCCCAGAAAGATCCATTTGCAATGGCGGACACACAGCAGAAGCTTCCAGAAGCTACCCGAGCTTGCTGCAATGGCGGACACACAGCAAGAATCAGCAAGAGCAAGACGAAATAGACGAATGCCGCCATGGCGCCATGGGAGCTGAGCTTAATTTGCAAAACTATCCAAGTACTACTATAAACCAATCAAGATTGCAAGAATCCATTGCTCATTGGGAGTCTCAAAAAGGAGACAAACATACAAACATAAAGACAACAAAAAGAGAGAAGAGGATTAGTCATGGAGATGTTCTTGGGATCTTGACAAACAAAGATAATAAACCAGTTGCAACCTCCAAGATGGAGGTCTTATTCTGGTCCAAAGCCTAAAAAGAAAAAAATAAACTTATTTTTCTCCTTGGGCTACTCACCAATCAATCACCATGCACAAGAATTTAATCACTAGTACTACTACTACTAGAAGCAAGGGATGCTTTGCTTAATTTGTTCTTAGCAATATCAACTTGTAGCCTAACATATGCATGGACAAGCCTTTGAGCTTGAACCCCTCCTAGCTCCTCTAGACTTCTACTAGCATAAATACACACAAAAAAAAACAACAACTCAAACTAATAATCAAAATTAGTGAGAAAACAAGAAACCTCCTAGACTGTCTAGCAGTAGTCTAGGTATGTTCCTTTTTGCTGTGGGAGGGACACCAATTGATGGACAACAGGTGGTGTTCCTGCACTGGTTGGAAACAGTGGAGGAACAAACAAGATGGAACAAAAGAAAACAAATCCAAATAATAATAAGAAGAATAAGAGACCACAAAAGCAGTAGTAACTGATAAGAAAACAAACCTTGCAGTGTTTGTGTGTGTGTGTCTCTCAAGAACTAAGCTAATCAGGAGGGCAAAGAGGGAGCAAGGCCATGGTGATGAGTGAGTGAGAAAGCTCAAATGTTCTCTCCTTCCACCATTGCAGCAATGAGAAGCAACTAGCAAGGGCACAAGCACAAGCCCTGCAAAGTGGTTGGAATTACAAGAAAACAAAGAGATTGTGAGAGGAGTAGGAGGAGGAGAGCTATGAGCTTGGGGGGGGGGGGGGGATGATGAGATGAGAGGTGAGGTGAAGAAGAAGCTTGTTGTCTTGTGGTGTATCTAATGACAAGGAGAAATGGAGGTGAGGCAAGAGAAAAATAAAAATAAAAATACTACTAGCTTCTGGTGCTTGCTTTGCTTGCACTATCAGGAATCCATTGTGTCAGGAGATGTACTAGATGGAGGGAGGGCAGAGCTACAGGAGCTGAGCATGTCCACCATGTCCCCACCAGGATTATTTTTAAGTTTTCTTTTAAATGTGTGTTTAGTTCACGTCAAAAATTGGAGGTTTGATTGAAATTAAAACGATGTGACGGAAAAGTTGAAAGTTTGTATGTGTAGGAAAGTTTTGATACGATGGAAAAGTTGGAAGTTTAAAGAAAAAATTTGAAACTAAACACAGCCTAAATAAATTTCATAATGACTTGTTGTTTTTGTTTCATTATTTTCTTTCCATTCTTTCTTTTTATTTGAGAGGGAGTGGGAGAAAGGGATTGGGCAGAAAACGAGTTTAAGCATTTATTTTTTGTTTTGTTTTGTTTTGTATGCATTCAGAAACTATTTTGTTATGCATATTTAGTATTGAAAAAAGGATTTAGTGACCAAAATATTTTAGTCTTTAGTTAGCTGAAATAGATGGCATCATGTTCCATCATGGGGATATTAAAGTCAATTTATTTTTGAAGAAAACATTTGCTTGATTGATATGACATTTGTTTACAAGTTTCCCCATTCTACCTTCTCATGCAAAATATAGTATCTTTACAGAAAAAAAATACAATCATATAGTATTAACCAGCATGGGCTTTACATAAACAGGAGTAGTTCACTACCACCCCATGGCTGAACAACCTCTGCTCCTAATCAATGTAAACCCAATTAGAAGCTGAAATGGCACAGTTCCCCAGCCTCACCAGAATTAACTAAACCATATCATCACAAACCTGTCCAATAATTTTGCACCACATATATCCTTGTCACCTCAGAGATCTTATCATTTGGAAATTTGCACATGATTTGTGGAATTATCAGCTACAACTTCCCATGCAATGGGGGGGATACTTCTGCAGAGAGAAGCTCATTAGCCTTAGGCCCACTTAAACCCTAGCTTTGTTTGGGATCCTATATTTGTAAGCTTTGTTTGCCCTTTTTTCTCTGATGGGAGATGTTTGGTGTCTACCGCTGTCTGCTCACTGCACAACATTCTTCTGCCTGTAAAGAAAATCGGCTTCCCTTCCTTAAGTTCCTTTGAGGCTCTTGTGGGGAATAAATGGCACATTTTTTGTTGTGCTGTGGGGCAGTGTTTACAAGGACAGTTGCAATTTCTTTTCCAAGGACAATCTTCAATATTGTGGTTACACGCAGAGACCGGAAGTAAGCGTATATTTCATACAACTACAGATAAAATTAACAGAATTGAAGGTTTAAGCTAAGATTTTGCAGAATTACAAACTTAGCATTGAACCTATCATGAAGTTGTATATAGATTTAAGACGAATTATCGCATAACTATAGATCCGGCAATAAATTTAGAGGAAAGTTCCTAGCACTATTTCAATTACAGAACTTTTAAATTATGTATTTTTATAATAAATTCTATGCTAAATCTATAATTTTATGATATTGCGGCATAATCTTGGTTTTTTTCAAAGTAGCAGTAGTTTTCTGAAATTTTCTCTGAAAATAATATTTCAAAAGAACTATGGTTTTTGTTCAGGAATTCAGGAGACCTAATCTCATTACAACTATACCATCATCGGGCCGAGCTGGTGGTTGTATACCACTGATGGATCGAACTTTAGGCTCAGTGACCAGAGCTGCTAGATCTCATCAACAAACCAGAGCACTGTAGGTACCATGTGTTCATCAGTCTCTGACAAATACCCATGGCCATTTGTTGAGCGTCCTACTCAGGCTCCATGACATTACTAGCTCTGTCACTGAAAATTCTATATGTCGTGAAATTATAGAAAATCATTGAAATTTGTAATAAACTCTCGTCGATTTCTGTCAAACAAGTAGATGTGATTTTTTTTCAATAAACATTTATTTTTAAAATTTTATATAAATGAAAATTCTAGAAAAAAATATTACTTGTTAATATAAAATAATTTAATTTCATTCATCCTAGATTTTCTTTCTAGGGAAGATCACTTATTTTTTACTGAAGGGAGTAATCTGGAATGCATCCATCTGACCATGAGCATTTGATCATCGCATTGGTAACATAGTTGTCATTGTTGGAATTAGATTCTCCCTTAGAGGGAGATAAAGATGTTGATCGCTTTTTGTTCTGATGAATATGCAAAGTGCACAAGGAATGATCTTTAAGGTACATTAGTACCTTCCTTTATCTTTCTTTCAGATGAATGTCCTCTGGATCGGCAAGAATGTTCGGTATTGATGTTAGAAGGCTGGATTACCCTACAGTCTTTCTCTCTCAAGGGGAAGGAAAAAGATTGCTAAAGATGAACAGATCTAAGCTTCTTTTGCTCTCCCCTTTTCTTCCCATTGGATTTTGGGTTGCAATTATTTGTAGTCCTTCAACTTCTTCTTTTTGTTTTTCATCCTCACTGGTCTTTGCATATCCACATCACTTTATTCTTGAATACCTGGCTGCAAGCTTTATTCTTGACTAAAATCTCATCCCAATACAATCTCCTTTTGCCGCCCTACTTTTCGTCTCGGTGTTCTTTTCTTTATCTTGAAATTTCATTCGATAGATAGTCGTGGAGAATATAGCAGCCAGTAAAAGATGGGAAAATGAGAGCAATTGATAGAAAATATAATGATTAATATATAATATATTGTGCGAAACATTTCTAGTTTTATTTTCTGAATATATGTACAAAATAATTAAATATTTTTTACATGAATTAAATATTGTTTTTACTCCGTTAGATAGTATCATAGTATTAGCTACTCCAGAAACTTTCTAATTCTTGAGAAGGTATCTAGATGTGCCATATTGTGTATTGCAAATTTTGACATCTCCCAAGTTCCGATCAATCCTTGCTACTGGTAGTGGTAGCTCTAAAATTAAGCCCCCATTTAAAACAGAGGAATTTAATTCATGCGAAATTCTGGGGTTGCAAACAGGCCTAAGCATACAAGGCACAAGACATATATAAAGTTCATTCTTTGATAATTTTTCTCAAATTAATTTCGCAAAAAAAGAAACAGCACAAATTGACAAGGAAGATAATAAGCTAAGATGCCATTTGCAGAAGTGCAGATGATCACTAGACAAGACCGTACGGGCGTGTCATATGATTTGCATCTTGGTCGGTCGACATTACAAATGAATTTTGGAGGTGTAAGGACCGCTATACAGTACACATATACGTACGTATGTGTGTACCCTGTCACCAGCTGTATTTAGCTATGCGATAATCCTTCCTTCCTCTAGGATTGGTGGCCTTTGTCCAGGGTTTGCTTGTCTAAGCATCTCCGTCCCGGCTTCGATTCTTTGATCCTCTTGGTCTCCTGGCAACTGTGGAAGGAACGGAACTCCAGGGTTTTCGACTCTGCGTTATCTCCAGTCTCGGAGGTCCTTCAGTCCATCCTCTCATAGGGCCATCTTTGGTCGTTAGCTGGCATTGCTAATTTTGGGGTTTTATTGGGAGAGTAATGGGCTCTGCCCCCTTTCCGCTGGTTGGAGTCATACTTTCCGAGTCTTTTTTCCTTGGTCTTTTGTTTCCCTCCTCTCTTAGCATGAGTCGGTCTGGCTTAATGCGTTGTGTAAAAAATATTCTTTTTTCCTAATATATTGACGTGCAATTCTTTTGCGCGTTCGAGAAAAAAAAATAATCCTTCCTTCCAAATGTACTTAAAATATAAGTGGTCATGGTATTTTCAATCTTATTGTAAACATAAGTCCTTTTAAAGCTTTCAGACATACTATCATTTGTTTCTCTGGTTAGCCTTGCAAATTTGCTTAATGTTTTATTAGTAAAAAAAAAAATTAAATTTTGGTTTTTATATTGACTTTTAAATCACTATACCACTAAAAACACGAGCATTTATATAAGGTTTTTTTTCTCATAAATTATTTTTGTTACTTAGTTTATTTTCTGTGTGGCTTATCAGTCGTAGATAAAAAAAAAAACCAAACCGAGCCCAAAATGAATGATATCTCCCTAGTGAAAAATGACTATTTTTTAAATTTAATATAAATGAAATACAATTTTAGTTATTTCACCTTTTTTAAAAATTTCCTTGCGTAAGACCAAAACAATTTATATTTGAAATGAAATAGGAGGAAGTAGGGATTTAAGGACTCGAGTTGGTTCATCTGGACATTAGTATTTGGACCATGATGGATCCATGGCTGCAGCTAGCTAGCAGCTCACTGGTGCATGAAAGTCATTACTCATGGATCTCACCCGACTTCATGCCCAATCTCCAGCCCTGCAAGTGAGGACCAGGATCAAGCAAGCAAGCAAGCTCCCTGCACAATTCAACTGACCACAGGTTTTTGTTGGCTTTACACATTCAATGCCATCAATAAAATCAAGTACTCTCAGTACTCTCGGGTACGTGCGTGTGTGCGGTTGTATGTAACCCAGCGTCGTACCAAATATGTATTTTTTTTTAATACTTGTAACCTAGCTAGATGTAACTCTGTTAGTTGTTTAACAGAATTCACAATCCTAACATCCACGAATATTACAATTTGATGATTTCAGCGAGGTTAGGAAGTCCAGCTTCTTACCGAAACTACAATCAATTATATTTATATTGGATGTTCACTAAGAAAATCCTTTCTTATTAACACCAAGGAAATGCATCACCAAATTAACCTCCCTTTACTTGCAAATAAAACATTTCCACAATATCTAGTTGTTTTCCCTCTCAGAATGGACCAAGAAAAAAAACCATCCTAGTACTCCCATTGGCACCACAACACACAAACCTCTCATCCTGTTAAGCTTGATGGCTACCCATCATCAGACGCTTCCCTGTTTGCCTCGGAATTCGCGCCTGATCATGATGGACAAAAACTTGCCCCCCTTTGGATGGATCGATGGACCGGATTAAATTGCAACCTCCCCCCCCCCCCCTCTGGACCACCTAATCAGGTGTGCCCCAGCTGCTCTCTCTGATCGATCGATGCATGCAAACTGATGAGAGAAAGAA